CTATAGATCTAGCTCAGCGTGGTACAATGAAACATAGTGATTGCAGTGCCAAAGTTGAAGTTGTCAATCAACAGTTTCAGAGTGTTTCTACACAAGTGCCTGATGGAGAAGATACAAGGCTAGCAGGAGACAGATTCTATGAAACTTCCCAGCTTCAAATTACTGTTAAGGGTGTTGAGAGACAGCTTATTGATAGAGTTCAACTGAGGCACCTGGACCTGATGACGTGATGAGGCACCACCATAAATTAGCAGCAAAACCTCTTATTCGTCAGGATTTATTCCAAACTTGAAATTTCACTTGATAGCAGAGTAACACCACTTCTTGTAAAATGGCAAATGTCATTGCAGTCTGAAAGGCTACGTAATGAAGTATCTTCATTTATATAACATCTCCCTGGATTGCCAACACTGGGTTTTGTCCAAAGAGATTTACATGAACACAACTTATCATGAAATGTAACCTGTCACAACAAAATGAGCGGAAAGTCGTATTTCGCTCCTTTTTGGTTCTGAGGGTTTAAAGTCATCCCAGTGGGCATACGACGCGTGAAAGACGTCGTTATGTGGTCGTGTGTCGTAAAGTGGTCGTGACAAAAAAACGACGTCTTAAAGACGTCGTTTTGCAGTCGTTATCAAATCATCGGTACCACACATACAGTGAAAGGAGAAAACGACGTCTTAACGACGTCTTTTTTCTCTATTTGAATTGTTTTCTTCAACAAGCAATACATGAAACACACGACGTCTTTACGACGTCATTTTACAGTCGTTATCAAATCGTCAACATACTACAGAAAAAGAAAAAGATTTAGATAACTTTATGAAGATTTTGCACGGTGACTTTTAGTTTGTCTCGGATTTTGCCGGTTCTCACTCGGTTTCACCGCGGAAGGTTCGACAAAGCAATGGCATACAGTGTATCGCAAAATCCCACCTGCAGCCGCAGGTGACTGTTCTGTTTGACTGTTCTCATCTATTCGTCAAGAGGGACGTGTGAGATAGCAATAGTGCGAGTGTCCAGTTTACAGGGAAATTTTAACACAAGAGGAATTGCGAGTGTGGTTTAGTACACTTGCTTGTGACTTATGATTATTTGCAGTGGATCTGACCCTCAACCCCCTCGTCTGATTTAAAATAACATGACATTAAAATACCCCTACATTTAGAATGGTTGAGGCAATTTTCTTTCTTTGCCAGCTGCATGCTCGCAAGCAACGACTGGCTTCGAGCGTGTGCACCGCCCTACTATAGTGGCTCTGGCTTAGTCTTAGCTGGTTCCAGCCTTCCGAGGAGACTCTGAGCATGCCGACTGGAACCAGCGATGGCAAAGACTGAGGTCATGTCCAAAAGACAAAACGGGCTTCCAGAACTACGGTTAGGTCTATTGACTTTGGCATCTACACGTATTTCCAATGGAATAAAGATCTTCAGGTCAGGGAACCAGTACTACTTCATAATTTTGTCCGTGCTTTGAATTAACTGAGCTCGAGTACATGTACATGTACAAGTATCGCTGCAAGCAGCTTGTCCGTTTAGACAGGTTAGGCCCTTCCTTAAAAGGTAAGTGCTTATAAAATGTAGTTCTTTTACGTATTGGCATTGTTGGTGAAGCAGAGGTCAGGCTTAAACGCAATAATTTTAATCCTCAACAGTCAACCGGGTTGGCCCCGGTTGTTTCCAACATGTACCTCCATGGGTGGACCACAGACAGTGTTTATTCATAGTCGTACGTAGACTCGCAGTCGTAGTGCAGTAAGGAGCATCTGGGCTTGCCACAGTGCCCATACTTCAGCGTCATCAAATATGGCAAATACTAACAGCGTCAATAAATCTAATTTACCCTTTTAAGATTAAACGTTATACCATTGTATTGGTGAGACTAAACTGTGAAAATGTAACGGCAGTACATGTATGTGATGCAATGTACAATATTGGCCACTCGATGTAGACATGTTCG